GCCAATATGGGAAAATCAAGATAAATGCTTTCTCATGACCTGGTATTGAAATTAAACCTTGGCACCATGCCGAAACGTATCAGCATTCAAGTTCGCATATGCATGCCAAATAATATATTAACATGTTTCCCGAGCCATTGTTGAAAGAACATGACCTGAATTGATAATAAATTAAGTATGATGAACATAGTGCTTTCAAGTATGATATTAATTAATTTTTTTAATTTTAGATTTTTTTATTAAATTAAATTCATAATTATTTATTTATTTATTTATTTGTGACAATTAATTAATTTTTAGAAAAAAAATATAATTATTAAAAAGTAACGATTATAAGCTGTTGGATATATTGGTTATGAAAGGTTTTCAATAACTTATAAATAAAGAATTACTGCTCATAAAATGAATTAATCATTTCTTACGCAATCCTCCTCCTTCTATCAAAACTCTTCTCTTCATAAAATTTTATAACTTAAAAGAGAAATTCCGTTAAAGTAATTTTAGGAGTGTTGTTTATAATTCTTTGAGTGCAAAGTTGAATCTTAGAAGTAAATTGTCAAAATTCTTATAACATTATAATGGAAGCAATAATCATTTTAAGGACAATATATGATATTTTCTACACATAATTAAACATTGTGTTTTCTTCCTTTTATCTTCCAATTTTTACATCTACTATAATGAAGCTTCAACAACCATCATATGCTAACAATCAAAGTTTCTAGCTGGTTTAACATATGCCATATAGTATAGTTTAGAGAGCTAGTATGATCCGGCAATTAAAGCCACTTATGTTTAGTGGTTAGGGTAGGAAGCTAGAAACATAACAAAACAAGGCCGATAAATTGGATCAACCACATCAGTTTACTGTGTTTTGTAGCAAAATACGATAATTAAGCATCATTCAAGTTATACGAAAATGCATCAGAATTGCATAATTAAGACAACTACATATATATATATATATATATATATATATATATATAATCTCAATCATTTGTATATGAGAGATGATGTTTTGACAATTCTATATATACGCCTGTTGTTTATGGCAAAAAAACTTATAAGTTGCTGTACATATAGAGGATTCTCATCAATTCCAGATGCACCCAATTGGGAGCCTCTGCACACCATTCCATTGTTATGTGCTACTCCCCGCGTTGTTGCCACTAAAAGTTATCCATCATGGCAAAATCTGCCATCATATCTACTCAATATTTGATTTTTTTTTTTTTTTTTTTGATACTCAAGTGAAATAGCACGTAGCATCTCAAAATAACTCATACTTTTATTATTATTATTTTTTTCAAGGATAAAATTTCAACCGCGTTTGATTTAAAACATGGTTTATTTATCATTTGAAGTGCATGCATGTATCTACATGTCTTTGCTCGGAAGCCACTCATTGAATCAGTGTTATAGGTCAAAGATACGTAAGGTCGGTGTGGCCGGCCCTTCTGATTGTGATTATTATGCAACTAGAAGTATAATCAATTGGCTTTTTCTTTTCTTTTCTTTTAAGAGAGATTTCAAATGTAATATATATATATATATATAGTTTCGTATGGTTGAACATGAGGTGGTGTGTTGACATATACTGGAAACTTAGAACTAGCAAGTGTTGGCTATTCTAATGGTATGTGGTACTTGTTTTGTTAGGGCGAAACTGGTAGCAGGGGTTGACAATCGAACTATAAATATACATAAATGTGAATTAGAAGGCTGATTGCTTCGAGTGCATATGGTGAGTATTAATTCCTTGGTAAGATCCAAACTCAGGCCCATGCATTAATAGAGCTTGAGGAAATATGGACATGAAAACCTCCAACATTACTTCAAGGGGATAGAAGTTAAAGACTCGTTTTTTTTTTTTTTTTTTTTTTTTTTGTTTGGAGATTTCAAATCCAACCTCGAAAAGAGTGGGAGGAGATTTGGAATAGGGAGAACTATCCATCGCTGTATAGCAACGTGTTCAACTTAATAATTGTTTTTTTTCTTCTTTTCTACCTTTCCAACATATTTATTGTAATTTTTTATACATTAAGCAAATGGTGTCTTTCAAATTTTGATTGCATACATTTGAAAAGCTCAGCACAATGGAGATGAATTGGCTAACCAGCTCTCACCAACGAGATTTCAATCAATCCTTGATGTATAAGCACTTTTTTTTCTAATTTATGTGCTCCAAACAGTTGGGCCCTAATTATTATCTGAATTCATTCACTAGATAGCAGCCTGGACCATGCATAACAAAATAGGTGCCATATACTAAAGCTGCTGGATTACTTTCTTGGGCTCAATTTTGCATGCCTTCTCATGACTGCCCAGGCCCAGATTCTTCTTTAACTGATAATTTGAAATTCGTTGTTATATATATATATATATAACTAGATGATTCGGGTGTTGTAGTGTTTATATATATATATGGTTGTTAATATATAAAAAATATCAAGTTCTATTTTGATCCTGCTAACATGTGTGTAATTTTTTTGTTAAAACAAATATGTGGAAGTTTTATTATAAACTTATTTTTAATAAGACATTTTAAATGATCTAAAAAGCATTACATAATTACTATCATTTTTTTCTGAGGTAGAAATTTTATCCAAATTTTAAACTAATTCCAATGTTTTTAATAATTAATTTTTTTTTAAAAAAGGACGTATTATCTCTCACGACATCAATAAAATTAAGAAAAAAAATCTCCAAAAATATTTTTAAAAAAGGTACTTGAAATTTATCCAAATGCTTAAGATTTAATTATAAAACAAACTCCGTGCTATTGCTATTCACTCATTATGTTGTTTTTCTTCGTATTTTCACGTGCCACGTTTTTTTAACATTGGGTTAATGTACTATTTTATGAATAGTTTGGTGAAGGTAAGAAAAATTACGATTGTCTGTAAAGAGAAAAGCCCAATAACAATAGCATTTTTTTCACAATGATAGTTTCATTTGAACTTCAGCAGGAAATCCTACAGTTTAACGGCTTGCATGACTGTAATTCAAGGGGTCATATAACACAACTAATGTAATTAACTATTAGAAAAAAACACTAAACTGGATGCGGAAAAGATTTTTAAACATACTAGCAAAAAAGACAAATTATCAACCTTAATTCAATTTTTTTAGCATGCGTTAATTTTTATGAATTATCTCGAAGATATCTTTTATTGTTTTGGCGAAAAACCATTATTGTGTTGCTATAAGAGCTCTTTGCGATTTTCAACCTAAAAGAATCACTACTATAAGAGGATATATATATATATATATATACAAACTCGTATGGTAAATGTGTTGGTTTCTTATGTCAAAATTTTGGGTCCCAAGGAGATCTAAAAAAAGAAATTTGTTTTTTTAATTTTAAAGCTATAACATATAAAAAAAAACTTCTTTTTTTTTTTCTACGATAAATATATAATTTAGCCAGTTTACTCAACGATCAAGTTAAGTATTTTTTTAAGCAATTTAAAAAACACACCTTCTACGTCTGTTTAGTGCGTTCATGTGAATTTAATAATTTTTTTTAGTGATGATTTCAAGATTTGAACGTAGACGTTAACAATCAAATTTTCTTAACCACCAAACCAACTAGTTGAAGTTAAAAAAAATATATATATATTATTAACAAGAAAACCTAAAAGACTAATTATTATTAAATCATTATTCATAAACAAATCATGTGTAGTGTTCATTTAATATTGTTGTGATTATCTCTCTTTTTTAATGTATTTGTAATGATATTGTTGTGATTTTCAGTTTTTGTTAAAGCATTTGATATGAAATTTTAACAAATATTATTTTTTTATTTTTATTTTTTTTAAATTTATTCAGTTTTCAACTTCATTTATATTGTGATTTGGTCTATGGATATAGAAAGAAATGAAAAGATATAAGGGAAGAGAGCGAATATGACGGTTAAGTCATTTTGATTACTTTCATTATCAATTTTGGTTTCGATTTATTCACTGTAGAGAAAAAAGTTTATTTAAGTTGTTTCATGCTATAAAATGATCAAGAAAAGGATATCAACACACCAAAATATTTATTTGAGTTTTTGAATTTGATCTGAATTTTTGAATAATAATATTTTTGAGTAGTAATTAAAATAAAAAGTGAAGAGAGACAAAGAGAAAGAGAGAATTAATTGGCACCTATGTGAATTAATTGTTATCTGAGTGGAGCCTATGTACAGAGACCAAACATGTATAACTTAAAAATAAAAATATACGTTAAGGAAAAAAAAAAAAGAGTCCATGTATTTATTTTTATTTTTTTATACAATTAAAATTTATTGAAATCAATTTTGTATTTTTTTTTATTATTATTGAAAAATCGATCATGCATTTACACCTAAGACACATAATCTTTACTATTTTTAAAATTTTTTTGAATATTTCAAAATTATTTTTTCTAAAATAAAATAATTAAAATTATATTGAAAAAAACCTCATAGTACTAGACTTTTCAAATAGAGTACATACACACATTCATACATACATACATACTTTCAAAAATTAATATTCTCATTGATATTCAATAAGGACAAAAGATTATTTTAATTTTTATGTTATTTTTTTACATTAACTATTGTTTTATTATGCAATCTTATTATATATATATATATATATATTTGCTTAATTAAACTTGTATTTTAGATTATTACAAATTTTTTATTTAAAAATCAATACAAAAAAAAAAAAACAAACCATACATATATATTTTTAAAAAAATCTATTTAAAATACATAAAAAGAATTAATTGAATACAAAATTTTGATTAATGTATAATTTGCATTTATCGGTACATTCCGTAATAATTACCCCAGTCATGAAAAGAAAAGAAAAAAGAAAAAAAAAAAAAAAGGTTTTCGATGGAATATTCTCTACCAACTAGGGTTTGCTTCTCTGCATATAAAAACCGTAATATCTCACATTCTTCGTCACTCATTGTTTTTGCCTTTCACTGCAATCAGAAGAGAAAAACTTAAGCGAGAGAAAATGGAGCAAACATTCATCATGATCAAGCCCGATGGTGTCCAAAGAGGACTCGTAAGTTTCTTTTATTGAACAGGGATTTTTGTGTTATCGATTTCTTTGAGGAATTATTGCTATAAAGTTCAAGAAGTATTGCTTCTTTGTAAAAGAAAGACGAGAAAGATTAGATCTTCCAGGGGTTTGAATTATTTTACTGGAAGGCGAAAGCTTATAGCCTAAAAGGAAATTTTGCATGTAAAGTGTTTGATAATTAGTTAGAATTCTGTAGAAAAATCAATAGCTGATAAGATTTTGCAATTGTCAGGTTGGTGAGATTATTTCAAGGTTTGAGAAGAAGGGTTTCACTCTCAAAGGTAATTACTTTGCTCTTGATTTGTTTAAATGTTGTAAATTTTTTATGCTTATGTTGTTAATGATGATTTTTTTCCTTAAACAAGTAATCATTATTGTTTAGTTACATTTGTGTGTTAGTTAGAAGTAAATTAATACAAAAATATCGTTCTCGTTGCTGATTTAGTAATTGTTTCGGTTTAGGTTTGAAGCTACTGACTGTTGAGCAATCTTTTGCTGAGAAACACTACGAGGACCTGTCCAAAAAGCCGTTCTTTCCTGGGCTTGTACAGTATATTATTTCTGGCCCTGTTGTCGCTATGATTTGGGAGGGCAAAGGTGTTGTTGTCACTGGCCGTAAGATTATTGGAGCCACAAATCCTTCTGCTTCTGAACCTGGAACTATCCGTGGTGATTTTGCTATTGATGTTGGAAGGTTAGTTGTTTTTCTAATTATCTGATATTGATCTATTTTTCTTGAGGGTGAGGGATGTGGCGTAAAATCTTTCATATTAAAATTGAGTCGTAGGAAAATATCTGAAATGTACGCTAGATATTTGATAGCATATTCAAATCAGTGACAAAAAAATATCTGATGTTTAAAAATTGCGTCTGCTTTGCAGAAATGTTATTCATGGAAGCGACTCAGTTGAGAGTGCTAACAAGGAAATTGGACTGTGGTTCCCTGAAGGCCCTACTAACTGGCAGAGCAGCCTTCACCCATGGATTTATGAATAAACTTTATCAGTCTAAAAGACTTTTGCCGCCAGCCATCCTACTTATCCAGATTCACATGTTTTGTTCCTCAGCAGCGAACAAATGTTTGACTTCTAGCATGTTTAAGGCTGTACGACTTATTTGCTCTTTTTAGTTTTATGTTTTTATGCCTGTCAGCTTTATCAAGCTAGATTGTTATTTGGGTATCATCCTTGGTAACAGTTCGATTGAGCTAAGGTTGAGTTCTATTTATGGAGTGAATTTTGAACGACAAATGTTAGTCTTGCATGTTCAGCTTGTTTGTTTTAACTATGTATTCGTTAATCCATGGTTTGCTGCCTAGTATAATTCAAGGCGGCTGAAGGAAACGGATTTTTTGATCTGATGACCTATTGTTTTAAGCCAGCTTTAAACAAACTTATTGTTTTAAGCCATCTTTAAACAAAGGAAGTGTTGGTCTAAAGTTTTTGTCCCTTCCTCAAACGTTTTTGTAGATGAAGCATCCTTGGGATATGCGCTTATGTCTGTGCCAAGAATTGAAGGCGATAGAGCATTAAGTTGCCAAACTCCAGAAGATCAGTTCATAATTTCCAGATCGATCCATCTGATGAATATTCATTTGGGCAAAGAAGATATTTTATCGTTTTGACAATTTTTGAGGCCAAAATTAGAAGAGGAGAGAGGCCGTTGCAATTCCAGAGTCAATTGTTTACCACCATTTCAGGTATTCTGACTTGCAACTGAATGAGCTTATAGCTTAGTAAGCGGATCACCCCCAACAATTTCTTACAGGGAAAACAACACCTCATTTCATCTCTAATTGGTGAAGCCAAGTGCAGACAGCAAAGGAGGTACACCAAAAATGAAAGACACCCACCAAAGATCAATGCCGGATCAGCAATCCAAACAAACCAGAAATTTCAGATATCAATGAACAAACAGTCTGACCAAAAGCAATCCACGCCTAACATCAGTTCAGACCGAGAGAAAGGATGCCTGCTAGTTTCAAAGAAAACTAAGTACTACAGGCTGATGGATCGGGTTTGGTCATTATCATCAAAATGATTGATGGCATGCATCCCTATTAATTAGATGGGAATTGGAATTCTTCTGTCCCTGCCTCATAACGTCAGTTTTAATGAGTATTACTATCAACAGCCACGAAAGCTTCCCTTCGCTGCAAGTATTGCTACTTAACAAATTAGCAATAACCTTTAAACCTGACAAAAAAGGGGTAACATTTGCAATAACAAACAAGCAGCTAGAATTTCAAGAACCAAGTATGGCCAATTTGTCCCACGGGAGTACCTGAAGTTATAAAAGAGAGATACAGGCACGAACCAAAAGAGCTGGATCAGAATTCCAGTTCAATTTCTTACAATAGGTAATAAACAATTCAAACCTATCTAGAGTACTCTGTGAAGCACTAAGGTCTTCGGTAGAATGCTAGAAACAAGCAACCTAAATGCAACCACACTTGTATTCATCCTTACAAACTCAGAAGTTTCTTCTTCTTTTTCTCCGCGACAAGAAACTTGACAAACTCAACAAACCTTTTTTTGAGATTAAATGGGGGCATTTGCTAACATAGCTTCTACTGAAGTTTTAATGAGAAGCAACATATCATGTACATAACACCATCCGACTAAAAGGAACAAGGAGAAGAACGTGGCAGGAACCTGAATGTGCCAAATACTGGCAGAGATTTTTCTGTTAAAGGAAAGTTAACTCTCCAACTGCTATACTATTGTGTAAGAAGGGTGTATGAGGGCAAGTCTTCTAGCCGTATTATGTCTTCAGACAGAAGCTCCCTCTCTAGTTGACGGCGTGTGGATTTCATAACCGCCTGGTGAAAATACCATAGAAAACAAAACAGCAAAATATAGTTTAGTGTGTGTCAAGATCTATGCAAATATTAGAGAATGCATTCAATATATGTCAGTGCTTCTCACAGAGCATCAGTGCATGCAGAACACATCTATACACGGCATTCCTAGCATTATGCAAAGCAAGACTGCCTCAGACTCACCCTAAAGTTACACTTTCATTTCAGCATAGAGAACATATTTAATACTTCGAACTACTGCCTTTCCCATTTCGGATGCTAGTACGCAAGATAAAATCATAACTCGTGTGTATTGTCAGTGTTAAAGTCTTTCCCTATCTCTAAAAGGAGTTTTATGATTGAAGAAAACATACATTGAAGTCCATATATGAGGCGTGCATGGTAAGCCATTCACGATCCATTAGCTTGAATGTTATGCAATAGAGAAGGTCAAATGCTGAGTCATTCTCTGCCAAGGCAAAAGCCAAAATTTAAGTTAAAAACTATCAAGGATAGAAACTTTTGATGTTAAGATTAGTTGGCATCAGATAGTCAATAATAGATTATCTAGACTAAAATACAATATTCTTTTCACCATCGTATTGGGAAAAACAAAAGGAAAGAGGAAAATACAAAAAGAGCAAGGAATGCTTCCATGCATGCCATTTCTACAAATTTCCATTAAAAGCAGTTCCACGCCCAAAAAAAAAAAAAAAGCAACTCAGAAGCATAATATTACCTGCTAGAAACTTCAAGAAAGTTGCTCCCACCAGTGTTCGTGGTTTGACTGTAGAATAGAAGCACATAGTTTTACATTTCCAGAAAATCAAGTTCCAATTCAAATAATATAGTTTCGAGATTATACTTTGGATGTGGCATGGATATTAAGTAATTACATTTGAGCTTTATACAGTTCCAGAAATGAATTCCAATTCAAACTCACATTCTTTACATGCAGCTTGCATAAAAAAAATAAATATAAAATTTTTTATTGAGTTTTGCAGAGCTAAACAAAAGGACAAACATTATGGCCCAAAAAAAAAAAGGGAAAAGACTATTCACGAAATCCTACATGAAGCTAGGATAAAAAAAGTTTCAAGAAAATCATGAGCCTCATTTCAAAATCTCAAAAGAAGAATAAACAACTTCAGAATGACATGTAAGCCATAAATGGGGCATCGGGCTTCAAGACATCCTTACTATTAACAAAAACCAAAGAGCAAAGACCAATAGTTATTATCTCAGAGTAAAACCATTGAATACTAATAACCATAGAAAGGAAACTTTCGAAATCAGTACCCTCCTCCAGACGGGAGCGTTATGGCCTTATGGGTAACTGAACAAAATTAAACTACTTTTCCCTGAGAATACCTGCTTCTAGATCAAGCATCTGAATGAGCATAAACGTGATGTTCACACCAGCTACAGCAAATGGGTATTCCCATACTGATCGATCACCTTCTCGCTTTTGAAGAAGATCCTGAAAGGACTTCTGCATGGACAGATTTGGTTACTTTTGGGAAGAAAAAGATGAAATAGATATGAAAAAATTTAAATAAGTCCTCATTAAAATTATTCCATTAACTCTTACAAAGGGTTACTACAACTCATAAACCATTTGGTGGCACAAATAAATTGCAAGCAAAAACTAGTAAAAATTCCATGAGATTGAGCAATCTAAATAAGCCCAAACATAAATACTGTTGAGTTCATTGAAAGATAAAATATAATGGTCCAAGCTTCCACGATGTCAGCCAAAAAACATTCTAAAAAAACTGAGGAAGCCACAGAGCAGATTAAGTTGACAAAGGTTGCAAAACAAGACATACCGGAAAATTCCTAGCAAAGAACAACAAATTCTCCAATGATATAAAACCACCACCCCTGGAAAAATATATGCAAGCATCATAAACATAAAAAGGTGATGGTGGTGGGAAATGATGAGAGCAACATCATGAAAGTAACAAAGGAACCAATGGTCTACCTAAAATCTGTTGATGGATCCTTTCCTTGCCAACCCATTTCCTTCCACTGCTCAGATATCAGACCATGAAGTTCTTCATCAGGAAAGGCAGAATTCCATAAGGCCTTCAAAGCTTCCTAGAATAGCATAATAATAATGCAATCAGGGAACCTTCATGTCTCAAAAACTAATGACCTTCTTATATGCATGAAATACATGAATGAAAAGTTAAGGACTGATAAGAATGACAAATCTAGCAAACAAACAATTCAACTGCATATTTTTATTTGGTTGTGCTGATTCTATTTCTGCCGCAGCCAAATAGTTAACAGAACCTTCAGAAGAAGGGGTACCTGGTGCTCAGGAACTGAACTATCATAGGGAACATCTATACGGCTCTGCAGCCTCTGCAAGCATTCCTCCTGAATGCATGAAAGAGAAAACAAATATATTAATTTATTTGGAAAGCATATTAAGTCACTGAATTGAGAGAAAAGCCAAAGAGTAAGTTTGAAAATGGAGATTGGTAGTTTTAGTAATTCTCATTTGGCATTACTGGTGCTGCAGCTTTTAACATTAATGCAAATACAGGACAAATATTAACAGGGTATGTATACTCCAGTAACAAGTGATCTTCACTTACATACTTTAAAATCAAGATAGTAAAACTGTAAACAATTTGGGAACATGAAGAAATAATACAAAACTTGATAATTTGTAACTTCACCAGCAATAGTAGTTTAATTTTACTTTTCCCAAGACGTGTGACACGTGATATTCAAACAAGAATAAACCACCAATGTTCAGCATAGTTGTAATACATAACCCAGATTAATGGGCATGTAATGAATAGGAATCATGTAACAATATACACATGATGAGAAGTGGAAAGCCAGGGTTTCAAGGAAATCAAGCTCAAGAGAATCATATCTTTAGGAATATGTACTATGTAATGGTAGCATGAAACAGTAATGTCCACTTTCAGAAATTTGCTACCAAGAATTGCAGGGAGCACCATTCCTACATTACAATAAGGCTGCCAAAAATACCAAGAGAACTACATTGCAACATAACAAATTTTAAATGTTCTCAATTATCAATTCATTAATTATACCAGCCAAGGTTTGGATGAGACCCATTTTTTCAAACATTAACCAATTTCTCTTCTTGACCACATCACATCATCTTCTTACACAAATTTAACCAGAGGATTTGGCCTTGAGAAATTGCCTTTAGCAGGTTTACAGGGCAACAGGGACAAATGGAAAAACATATGCAGAAAATATCTATACTTTTGAGGAATGAAGCACAAAACAATTAAAGAAAAGTAACAGATGAATGCAAAATTTATTAAAAAGGAGAAAAACCATTCAGTGTTTTTGATATAGTCCTCCAAAGACAGAACAAGTGTTGGATTTACATCACAAATTCAATACACATAAATGAAAAAACAACAAAAGAAGGCATCTGGAGATGCAGAAAACATTGTTCAAGAAAGTCGTTCCCTGTAAGCTTCTTTTCTCTATGAAATAGGAATATGAAGAAAGAATAAGAGCTTTAAATCAATCAAGTATAAAAATACCTGTGCCGGGGTTAAATCAAATGATGGACGAGCATCACTCTCTCTTCTCTGTGCACAAACACAAGAAAGGCCACGGCCAAGCCATGCTGCTGATCCTGCCACAACCTCAGCTGTAACAAAACAAAAACTTAGGGATGAAAAATGCAGTTTCTACAGCTTTAATAGCAAAGCTTAACAATTCAACACGTCATGCAGCCACATTCCAAGTACAACAAGCAGAAAATAATCCACATGCTTTATTTCTAATCCTCAATACAAGCAGGAAAAAGAATCAAACTTCTTAATGAGCATGTTTCGTACTCAATACCCAACAGCCTTTCTTCTAAGCAACACTAGAAATAAGCTTCACTAAAATGTTATATCCAAATTATTGATAGCCAAATGAAGGCAAAATGTGATAGTATTGCGAGATTAACATCAGGAAAAAAAAAATGATGTATCTACTTCAGATTAATTTGGTAAAAAAAAAAAACATGTACAGATTTTCAACTTCATGAATAATCATAAATTCACTATGGTTTTAACAATTTTTTTTTTAAAATACAATTAATGCAAATGAGAATAATAACAGGTAGAAAATTACAGTATTCGGAACAAAGTCAGCGACCTACCACAAAAAAAATTGAAAATCAGGAAACATGAAGGTTGCGTGAAGAATTTTGTTGTTACTGAAAACCTAATTAATAGTAAATAAATTAATTCAATAAAAGCCACAGATCCAATATTCAAAAAAATACACATAGCACTAGCACATTGACAGGTAAGAGAAAAGGAATTAAAACAAGATTACCAGAAGTTGAATGGCAAGTATTATTTCCTCGCTCCAGACCTTGAGAAATCCTCCTCACAGCCACAAATGATCCTCCTCTATCGTCCATTCTCTACTCTCTTCTCTATTTCTCTCTGTCGCTCTCTCTCTCTCTCTCTCTCTCTCTCTCACTCACTCACTCTCTCTCTCTACATAAGTATTCACTTCGATATTTCACCACTGGAAAAAAAAAACACAAACAGAAACCTAAAAATCACACAAAATTTTAGCAAATATATAAAAAAAACGTTAGCGTATTGAAATACGAGTGAAAAATACCAAAACCACCGCGAAATCGGAAATGCCGGCCGAATCAGTTCTCAACCGGATCGGAATCAACAACAAACGATTAAAAATTACAGAAAATGAAGAACGGAGGAGGAGCGATTCTATTTCTTTGTTGAATTAGCAAAAGAGGAACGAAATGTTAGAGAAATTGTAAAAGAAAAAAAAAAAAAAAGAGTATCTATTTGAATGGGAGGCAAAAATAAGAAGGAAAGCTATAGTTTGTTTGGAGATCTAAGAGAAAGAGAGTAATGAGATTTTGGGGGAGTTTTTCATTGTTTTCTTTGCTGTGTCAGTTTCTCTGGATTTTTGGAGCCATTTTGTTTGTTTGCTTGTCTGTTTGGTGAGAGGGAGGAGGAGGAGCGATATTTCAGAAAGAGGAGTGTGAATACCGAATTTAATGGGATTTGATTAATTTACTTGCGAATTAGGTAACGCCGCTTAATAATAATCCTGGATATTTTTCACCTTTGAAGCTTTAATCTGGTGATAAGCAAGTTTGTTGTTATCCACTTTATTATTTTGGATTCGAATCCAATAATAGTAAGGTTGTAAGTAAAAAAAAAAAAAAAAAATTGCAAATATAATATGTAAATAGTTTATCCTAGAATTTTATAGCAAACAATTTGATCTTCGTATGTTAAAATTGATGTGAGAATATTCTCATTCTTAAATAAAATCGGATGGATTCTTTAAGGAAATAATTCATTCTTGATATTTGAAAATATTGTCATCGTGAAAACATAATGATATCTTATATAACCATAGCATGATGAGTTTATCGAACACAAAACCTCAGCTAACTCTAACACAAATATACATATATATAGTATAAAAACATGCAATAATTGTGGGCTTTATCGCCTAGCTGCATATGTGGACTACCGCAAAAGCACAACGTTCTGGCAATTGCTAATAAAAAATAACTGACAGCTAAATAATTCATGCCATTGATGTAGAGTCTTAGTGTTTGATTTTGATTTTTTTCGAGTCGCTATGGAGGAGTTGTGTGACTTTGTGTGCCTGTGGATTGGGGAAGGTGATGCTTTGATGGTGATTGGTGATGGTGTGGGCTTTAAACGGGAAAGGGTGTAAAGCGGGAAAAAAAGGTGGGAGGGCCAATGGTCGTAGGAAGGTTTACTGATTAGGTTAGGATGATTTGGTAATTTACTTTTATGGAAAGAAATGAAAATATCTCTTCTCTCTCAAAAATTACGAATTAAATGTTCTTGTTGGCTTATTTCACAGGATCTTTTTTCGACTGATGAAATTATACTCATACTCAAAATTAAAGAGATTAAAGAAAGAAAATAACCACTTTAATGGGTTAGCAAGGCATTTAATGAGCTTCCCGGGAAATTAAAGATAGTCATTAGCAATTAAATGTTTTCTCACGAGGTTGTATTGCATGAGAACATTTTAAATCAAGCATTTTGATTGGGTTAAATTTAACCCAGGTTTGGTATATAAAATGTGAATCTTCTATTCAAGTTCTCACGTGTGGCAAACGACCAATTAAGTTCATTTGAAGACATGTTTGGTTTTCGTATCAAAATTCTGCATATATAGATATTCGTAATATTTACAAAGTAACTAGCTTGTGTTTCTCTGAAGCAAAAAAAAAAAAAAAACTAAATAAAGGCTAAAATTGAAAATCATATACACTATAAAACTTAAATTATATACATATATATACTGAGTTTATGCATCCAATAATTTAATTAAATTGAACAAATTTGTGTTCAATAGCTCTAGTTTTTTCAATCACCGTACAAAGAAATATCTACCCTCTATTATTTAATTCAAAAAAATTCAAAACCTCTCAATAAACAAGAAATATATTCATGTATATATAGACGTGCGTAACATATTTAAATATTTGTTTCTACATGCTTTCTCTCTATATTTATAAATTATTATGTTGATTTGGTATGCTTTTTGTCATTTTATATATGTTCGATTGGTTATAACTTACATAAGTTTTTAAATTCGAGTTGAAATAATTAAAATTAAAATTTTTAACTTTTAATGTATTAGTTTTAGTTTCTAATAAATTTATCTGAAACACTGTACTTAATATTTTTACTATTACTTATGTTGTAAGTTATTTGTGGAAAAAATTAAATTAATTCATAATCAAAATCATTTGGTAAAAACTCACCAAAAACAATTTAAATCCATCTCCTCTCGCTGAAGATTATAAGAAATGATGAAAGCAGGCAAGGGAGAGGAAAAGAAAAACTAGTCAATAGCAAAAAGCAGGAGAAATTGTTGCAAAAGTTGAAGAAAGCAAGAAATTCTCGGCGGGATATAAAAAAATTAACAGACGAAAATGCCCTTTGTGAAAAGGATCACATGGGATGTTGCCAAACGTGGACCAAGGTCATGATGGATGGAGTTCATTTAAGTGCAGGTCCTACGCTAAAAACATCATTTGTACTTGCTCAGACACCATGATGTATACCTCCAAATTAGAGTCATGGTCCACACGCATGGGCATTTCCACCAAACTGCTTCTCTACTTTCCCTGCATACGAAGAATCTCTGGGGGATAACTGCACCATAATTTCACATACTTTTTACGGTGTTTTTCAATTAATTGTATGAGTTTTAATTTTTTTATTTGAATATATATTTTTTAAAATGATGAATTAAGTATTTTTGTTCAAACTTGTAGTTCGCTCGGAAATTTATTAATATGTCATTTGCTTCATACTATTAAATTATGATTTTAACTTTTTATTATTGGATGAAACTTTTCATTCTAAATTATTTAGTCCCTTTTATATAATAAATGCCTAGATTATTTTTATATCCAAAATGCAGAAAAATGACAAAACAATCTCAAAAAAAAAAAATCTCTCATAAAATAAAAGAACATAATCATAATTTAATAATATGTGGTAAAAAATATGTCATTAAATAAAGAAATAATTGACAAAAATTAAATAAAAATAATTGATGGATAATTTTAAAAAAACTGATATTTTAAATAAAAAAATTGTAAATTTGATTGAAAAATGTTAAAAGTTTGTATACTTATCATGTAATTATTTTGAATCTCGCATGTAAATTTATTCTCTCTTTTTTTCTTTGGATAAAAAAATTATTCTTTTTTCAAAGTTTTAGGATAACTGATTCTTAAAGCTCTAATTGTACCAAATTGATGTAAATGGTAAATTCTTAAGGTCATATGTATGTATATATATATATATATATATATATATATATATATATATATATATATATATATATATTCTTTTTATTTTAAATACCAAGATATTGTAAGATAAGATCTCACATATTAAAATTAAATTTCTCTCTAATCATATGTTTAATGAAACCATCAATATCAGAACGAATGTATTCATAATTTATTGTTTTGCAAATGTTTATTCCATTGAAACATAAAATGATATAGGATTCAAGTAGATAAACGTAAAACTAACATGGACTTTGAAAAGTAAAATTACTTGTAATTTTTTTTAATCGATTTTTTCATAAAAAAATTTAATTTATCTTTTCAGTCGATTAAAGGTTTATTCGCGATTAATGATCTGAAGAAGGTTGAGGCCTAAGCGGCCAATTGGGCATAACTTTTTTGTTTTCATAAAAGTTTGCCTGTTTTTTATTATTTTTTTCTTTCCCTTATTTTTTTTTTTTTTTTCCCTCTAAGAGAGTTATTCCCTTACTTTATTGCACGTGGTTTAACATAAACAATAATCCCAATCCATTGACTTCAATCAGAATTCTATAAAAGCAACTTTAATCCAATACCATAGCTCATGCAATTAAATTGCTATACGTAGCCTGGAAAGACGAAAAAACTTAAAAACGTCACGGGGCCCACAAACTTTCTTTTGAATTTGATTAGTCTTTAATATATGTAGCGTGAATTTTTTTTTTTTTTTTCCTAAATGGTGACTCAATATGAGTTAAAAGAAATCATTGTGCCTCCGGCTCTTAAACAGGAGTCCTTAGGCATTTGACAATTGAATTCGGAGTTAATGGTTTAATTTATTGTTATATAATGGAGCAGTTTTATTGTGTTGTTATATTTTTAATTAAACCAAATTTATTATTAAATTCATATATTAAATGTTTAAGTTATTTTTTGATAAGATTTTCAATTGAATTATCAAAATTAGTCACCCCATATACACACAAAGTAAAAACTTTCTATTTGATTGTTTAAAAAAATGTTTTAAAAATAAAAATTAATTATTTACAAAGCACACGAATAATTCCAACTATTTAACTTGAAAAATCTTGATAAAAGAATAAATTAAAATTTTAATATATATTTTAAAATAAAATATAAGAACATATTGAACAAGCAGATTTGAACAAGATTGAACAAATAACCTTATTACATAAGGACACATCCAGCTATTAAGTTGTGAATTTATTCACACTTCATGTAAAAAGTTGTCAAAATCAGCTTTTCATATTTATTGTAGTGCATGGTTAGGTTAATCATTTACCATAACGGGTATTAAGTTCAACTCTCATTTTCTTCTGACACCAACAGCCGTTAATATGTCCAGGTTAGTCAAAAAAATAAAAGCAAAGTTATGGGATTCTCTCTCTCTCAAAAAAAAACAAAAAAAAAAACAAAAAAACACAAAAACAGAAGCTTAGACGGCTTCCTGGTGATTTTTCTGCAATTATCATTAGTTTTTCATGAGACTGTGATATATTTTTAATAAATGTCTTCGAGCAAAGAAAGACAAGCTTGTTCCTTCTCTGCTCCGATTATCTATAATGAAAGCAGGTCCATGTACA